TATTTCTCAAGACCGGTCTTAGGACCACTTTTTGATGATCTTGGTCTCGTCCTGGACTCGACTGCATTAGTACTCGGTCTTGTCTCGGTCATTGAGGACTCGGGATTTTATTTCAAGACCATAACTTTGGGGATATCAATAAATTGCTTTTGCATTGTCTGATTTATTTGTTAACATCCCAACTTTGATTGGATGTAAAACATATTGCTTCAAATGCAACCAATAACCCTAAATAAAAATGTGTTGTTACCCCTCCCCGCGATGGTAAGCATTAAGAAGGAGTGTTGAATAAAGATTCTTACGTTGATTTCAGCTCTTAGTGTTTGTGTGTGGGTGTTTTTATGGGAATGTGAATGTTTCAGATCAATTTGAGAAGTACCTATGATCTCGTTCCTCATTTTATTGTGTGTCATGTAATGTGGGGAACTGGTCTTGGTCATGACTCGGTCTCGCCCTCCCTCGGTCTTGGTCTCAACATGGCCTTGGTTTGGGGGTCTTTACTACAACACTAGTACATACTCAAGTCAAACACTCCTGGAGTTTTTCTGCAGCAGTACAACAAGGCTTTATAAAAGGACACCCTCATGCTGTGCATTCTGACACCAAAGATGAGATAACAACGCAGACAAACACTGCCTGTTTTAGTCAAACTACGTTTTTTAGCCTCAATTTGAATGTCTGATAAAAAGCCTACAGCACTGTTATTTTTAATTAACAACTTTGGTATAGTCATCTGCTGTTAAAAAAAAATATTAAATGCAATTATTGTACGTTCAAGGTTTTTGCTCTGTGGTGACTGTTGGTAAAACCTTAACTCTCTTTTTAAGAAATACTGAGATAATCAGCATTGGAAAAAGCCACTCAGACTTCTCCTGAGGACATAATCAATAACCTTCAACCTCAGTGCTTCCTCTTTGATGCGCTGCCACTGCTGCTGCCGCCGCCGCTGCTGCCACTGAGATTAAAAAGAGCTGGATGGGAACACGTTTTCTACCAGAGAAAGGAAACAACTGCTAGAGAATCAATGAGATTATCACAAGCTTGCGCCAATGTAAAAGTCTTCCTAGATTAGTAATAGTTTCTCGGGACATTGTTGTGGGATGTTTAGGCTTAGGCAGTTTAATGTTTAATGATATGAGGTTTGGTTCCTCATGTCTATGTAATGGTCACTACACAGCTGTAACAAGTTACTAGATATTATAGATCAAGTCAGTGCTCAAAGCTTTACCAGCCCTGACTGGATTTTAACAAAATTTAAATGAGGGCATCAGTTTTATCTAACAGAAAAAATAAATGTCTGCATCATAACAAAAATGGCATTAACATGAAACATACACTTTCTTCCCTATACTGTAGTGTAAAAGTGAGTGGTTACACAGATGATATATGAGATAAAATGATAGCTCATGTTTATAATTTCTTTTCAATCATTTTAAAATTTTATTGTCACGAATGTCCAGATATTAGTCACGTGACATGATAATGGTTGGCTGAAGTATTATGTAAATGTTGCCACATATTTGCTTTAATTGAAAAAAAAAAAGTATGCCCTGATACTAGATTTGAGATAAATGAATCATCCAGAGAAGCAGAACATCTCAGTGTTCAATTCTCATCTCTCCTCCTCACTGTGGCCGTAGTCTACTGGCAGTTCTCAGAACCCTGGGCTGTAATTATAATATTCAAATATGCTTAAAATGTCCCCCAACATGTTGATATACAAAAAATGAATAAATAAAAATCACTATGCTACAAGCTATGCTATGCTGTCGTTTGTCCAAGTGAGACGACTGGTGAGGAGAAGACGAGGAGAAAATGAGAGGAAAGCAGAGCAGACGCCTCTGCTTCCCACCCAAGTTTAGTTAAACAAAAACAACAATTTGCTAAACCTTGGCCATAATATCTGGACTTCTCTTTATATCACATTGCATAGATTTGTGTTTGATAAAAAAAATGGCTTCGGCCTTGTCAGAACACACCTGTGAAAATGCACTGGTCTTCAGTGCCTCCATTAAACAACATTGACCAAACGTCATACAGACTAATTGAATACTTACACAGGACGTGTTGTCCTAAAGTTTTTTCACTGCCATCACCACTCAAGTCAACCAATGGCCCCTCCACCCTGCCCCCAGGTTGAAACCATCTAATATTGAGCACACAATTAGCAAGTCCATCACACACACACACACATTCTCTAGACAAACCGCCAAACACAACCCTTTTATGCTTTTTGCAGAAATAAAACATTTTATTGATCTCCAGGGAGTAAACTGAATATTTTAGTGAATAGAGAAACACAACGGTCGCTCGTTCTTTGGAAAACAGTGCAGACAGGATGTGGGATGAAGACAAAACTGCACACTCAAGAAAGAGGTTGTAGTAGCTACTAAATCCTTTCAGCTCAGCAACATTCAGGCAACAGCAGACAGCGTACACTCAATTGATCCACACTCCTAATGTACTATGCACTTAACACACATGTTCTCTCTGCGCACGTGTATCCACAGTCAAGAAAATCTTTTTTATAAAAAACATTGCGGGACATTGCAGTTGTAAGCATCACCAGATCCAAACAGTACACCGCTAGACCCACTCATGCAGGCCTGCATCAGTGCTGTAATCCAGTCTCCCTACAGTCTGATCAACACGGATGCCGTTTCAATTAAACATTCAAATATACTGCAGTGTCAAGGGTCCAATATCTCTGCGTTTGAGTCACCCACACACCTTGTTGCTGATGGGATTTTATAAAAAAGGCTTATTTATTTTTAAAATAGTTTACTTTTTTTTTTTTTTAAAACATTGAACCCATCTTACTTGACCCTGCCTGATAGACACTAAGCAGGTGTGATGTGTGGTTTGCAAAATTGAGGCTGGTGTGGGGATGGGTCCAGATTTCATGAATAATGCTGACAGAAATTATTAGCGGGAGTTTGTTAAATTACATACAGCCCGGTGTATAATTTTACTCCAAAACTGAGAAATTTCTCACACATTATCATGCTCAACATCCATCTTATCTGACACCTGGTCCACAGCGGGGGAGATGATGCATGATTGGTGGAAAATGAGAGAGAACCATTCAGAGTCACATCTCTAATAAAAAAAAAAAAAATAGAACCTGGGTTTTTTTTCCTCCATACATTTATAATCATAAAGTACCATTAGAAACAATAGGTAACACTGTCTGTTATCCACAGCATGAAACATAAAAGGGGTTTCTCAGAGCAGCAGCAGCAACACAGTCTCTAGGAGTCACTAACAACACTTCACTTAACAAGGCAGAGATGACTTCACTTGGAGCTCAGGTTCACAGCAGCACTTAAACAATTAAAAGTAGAGTGAGAAGACAGACTGTTGAAAGAATTACAAAATTTGAGGACAGGGAAAAGCCAAACCAATACAAATACAATGCTGTAGTTACTCAGTGGAGTCAGAATGAGCATATGACCAGTACTCCTCTCATTCAGTCCACAGACACTCACGGTTGAACTCCCTGCGACAGACATGAGGCCTCCAGGGTCGGTTTCGTATCCATTTCAGGCGTCGAGGCAGCTCCATGATGCCAAGCTGGTGCCAGCGTGTAATGGCCCTTCACCCATCAAAGAGCAGCACCTGGGTTCCTCTGCCCACCCCCAGGACAGATACCCCCTCCAGAACATTAGTGGTTTCAAGTACCACCTTAGCAGCCAATAATTTGATTTGTCTGCAGCCTGCCCTCCGCTCTCTGGGGCAGAGCCGTTACAGTAGCTGTTGTGGTGCTCAGCTACATTTCCCCTCCACCTGCTTTATATTTTATGCATGAGTCAGTGGAACTCAACTCCCTCGGTTCTGGGGTGGGACAGAGGCGGGCCTCTCCCCAGGAACGAGCACCTATCGACAGGCAGCGTCTGAAGCAAAGCGTGCTCACCCTGCTGAAATGCGACACCTCTGCACCGTGCCCCCCAGGGGAGGCAAGGTGCATGGATGGGCAGGAGGTGGGGCTTGGCCAGCCACCTGAGGAGGCTGAAAGGAAGACTGTCTGTCAAAGGCAATAAGACATGGGGCAGTTTGTTTGTTTGTGTGCGTGCGTGCACTACAGTGTTTGTTAAACATTATTTTGGGTACAATCTAAAATCTACATTGCACAGGTTACGTCTTGGTTCATTTTTAGTGACATGAAGCCACTGATGACTGGATTTCTGCTCTCTGGGGTAGTTAATTATGCGCACTGCAACCCCAAGGTGTCACCTGCATGTGGATAACATCCCACATGCAAGATCTCAAGTAAGCAATCATACAGATTCCTCTTGCTGTAATACTCCAAGAATCTACCAAGGTACTAACAGAACAAGGTTTTGCTGATAACGAGAATGGCGATTTCAAACCACAGAGATGCACATTTTTAGCAAACAAATGAATCTTATGGAGATTTTTTACTTGGTGTGCTCTTGCAAACACTGGTTTTAAAGGGTAAATGTATAATGTAAAGAAACCCTTACAAAATCCCCCAAATCTCAAAATGTTGTAAAGTGTATATAAAAAATATACTTTGAATATAAAATTTTAAAATTTTTTAGTCTATTCTTTAAATAGTTGTTAGTCAGACCAACACTTAAAGTTATTCAGGTTGCTGTGATAAGACACAAAAAAAGCAAAAACAAGTGAATGTTGTTAGGCACTTTTGATCAGAAAACTGATTATCCACATTAATTTTCTGTTGACAGACTAATCCATTAATCCACAAACAAATGGGAGTGTAAGAAACATATTCCGTTAATCCTAAAAATAACTTCCAGAAACAGCAGGCTGAAGTTTGGCCGACAGCTTCAATGCAATGTTTATACTGTAGAATCCCATTAAAAAAAACAAACAGTACGTGGACCTAAATCAGCAGTGACAGATCACTAAGATGCAGTTTAGACAGGATCTCATTAAGTGTTATGGGACAATGACCTAGTGGCTGCTGACTCAAGATATCAACATATCCGTTTCCAGTTCATAAGAAAAGTCAAAGGCACTGAAATGTAGCCTTTATTTCAAAATAAAACACAGCACTTTCCTGCCTCGGTTAAGACTTCCTCCACAGAAATGCATTTTGTTTCTCTATGTCATAATACGATAAATAAAAACAGTCAACAAAAGGAAGCACTTAAAGACAGTTCTACAAATAACACAAAACACAATGTTGTCAAACAAAACTCAACCAGAAAACCTACATTTGGTACCCAATGAGACACGTCCAGCGCACGTTCCACTGCAACATTCAAGTTTTCTGAGTGTAACAAAGTTTACAACATGACAATATATGGAAATGCTTTTAAAATATTCTTTGTGTTTACTGCAGATACATGGTGGTTCTCTTAACAACATACACTACATACTAGTTTGGTTTATCAAATAAGAAGTTTGACCACAGAGAAAGCAACATTGAACAAATATGTGTGCTTCTATTGGCTGGTGTTGTGGAAGTGCTTATATCAAGACCCTAAACATGGTTCAATATAAGGCCTGGATGTTTCCTATTGACAATGCCCTTAACTAAAACATCTGAAACTGCTTCACTTTGTTTTCTAACTGACCACCTAAAAAGCCATTTGGAAAACTCTACAGCAACATGTCAACACGATTGTGTTCAAGATGCTGTACACAAAAGCTACGTTACAATATCAAAAATAGACAGGGCCTTTGGCAGACCATACTCACAGAAGGCACGTACAGTTCTTAAGAATTACAGTACAATGCAAAACACCAAAGTTGAACTTGTTTCTACATGTAGTTCAACACACTACAGCTATAATTTTTTCACTAGAAAGCAGAGACACTTTGCATTGGCTTCACTGCACTCTGAGCAGAAAGATGGTCCAAACTATCAGCCCGTTTACGACATTTGGTTATACACTGAATAAATGGGCCAAGTTGGTGATCTAGTCAAAAGTCAACATGACATTAAATATCCCATCTGTGATACAATTCTTCAATCAACCCAAAGATTTAGTTTACTGTCATATAGGAGTAAATAAACCAGAACATATTCACATTTAAGAAGCTGGATTCAGAGAAGTTTCACTGTCTTTTCTTTAAATTCTTTTTGACTCAAACAGATTTATAAGTTATAAATATAGCTGCCGATTAATTAAATAGTTGACAGCTAAATTATTGCAGCTCTAATCAGCATGGTTGATCCTGAGGTTTGGATCTACGAAGACCCCGTTCTGAAGAACAAAAACATTACCCAAAAGAACTTGCAGGTATAGTTGTTTAGATCTTGAAACAATCACATGAGTTTAAACTTTAAAAATCCGTTAACACTGGTTACATTGCCCTCACTAGTTTGTGTCTGAAAATGGATGAAAACAGAATGGAGGTAACACGGTGACAGTAACAGCATGAACAAAAACAGACAAGTTGTGGACGGACTCTTGAATGACGCGTCTTCAATCTTATAGCTTGTCCCTGGCAGTTACTATTAGTGTCCACTAAGAGGCACCAGAAATCAAATCTAGCCCGTTCAAAGGATGTAGCTGCATTACTGAGGTGAACAGAAGCAGGATGCACATAGTGACGGATTCATAATCAAATTCATGGTAAATAAAACCATTCAAAATCAAACAAGCATCACAACAAGCTAACAGCACTTTTGTAAATAATCTCATCCTCCTTCTGAATTAATTATTATTACAAACCCTCTACACCTGTCTGTTTGGCCCTTCTGTTTAGTAATGGATGAGAATAAAGCTTTTCTATAACAAAAAAGTTGTTGTAAACAATAACAGAAAAAACAAGCTGTGCAAATTTGCTGTAGTTTACAAAGAAGTCCAAGAACAATGTTTCTGGATATCAATGCAAACCCATCAAAACAAGCAGTGAGGGGGTTCTGAGGTCTGCACCTTTTAGCATTTAAACCAGTGGTCCGGACCCACCCCCCTGGGTCGCAAGATAAATTTGAGGGATTGTGAGAAATTTATTTTTCTGACTTTTCCTAATTACTCATTTTACGATATTAAGGAACCTAAAAATGCTTCAAATAAGAAGGAAAAAATTACTGTTTGGTTAAGCTTGCTGCCATCCCGTGACATTTGCAGCCTGTGAGTGGTCACAGGCTTCATTTTACAAGCTATAAAAAGGTTGGGAACCACTGGTTTGAATAAACCAGGCTCATCTTTCCTCAGCTAGAGTAACTCCATTAACAGCCATGGTGCAACACATGTAAGCCATGCGGCAAACATTTCTTGTGTGTTTTCTGTAGAAACCTCCTGTTTGAGAATACATCATTGCAGGCATTGTTTCCAAGTCAGTTCCTTCTAGATCTGGTTATTTTCTATTTGTTGCAGTGTCATTCTAAGGCTTTCGGTCAGCTTATGTGCCTGTGTGAGTTGCAGTGTATGGTGCATGTGTGTAGGGCATTGCACAACCAACAATGCATTGTGTAATAGCATGTGAATGTGCACGAGTTCCAGCAGGGTTAATCTGTACAGTGCTGTTTGTTGGAGGTGTATCATGTACAAAATATCAATTATATGGCTCATGTGTGAGAGATGAGGTGTGCTGAGCTCATCCCGCCATCGTTCTTCTTTTACTCAAGTTATGCTCATCTAAATCCTGATTGTCTGCGACTCACTCAAGCTTCACTCCTGTTCATTCTTCCTCTTGCATCCCTCAATACAGCATTTCACCGGGTCCATTATTCGATCTTTGCTGGGTCTATATTGTCCAGGTCAATATCAGGTGAGGCCACACAACACATGCACAGTTTTTGGGTGGACAGAGAGATCCTATCTGCAATAACAGAGAAAAAAAAATTGTTACACTCAAGAGAACATATTTGAAGAAACTAATGTTTTTAAACAGATACTGATGTTAGTTTTAAAACAACTACACACTAAACATTTTAGCACAAAGTTCATTGTATTAAGAGGGAGTATTCCTTAATACTTGCACTACAGAACACTTTACAGTATGTGGGCTTTATAGTACACTGAACTTCGAAACACTAATTCAGCTCTTAACTTCTGGGAGTAGCTTACTGGTCTTTAGTTGCATATAGACCAGCAGTTACCCATAATAACATCACACAACCACATTCATTCATAATTAAGTTTTACAGCTTATATCCCAGGACTGTGAATGTTAGTGTCCTAAGAAATGCTAGTATTAAATGTTAAAAATGCACAGTGAACCCTCCTTTTCTGTACCCTTAGGAATTTTACTTTGAGTTTAACCAATAAATCACCCAGGCCAACGCGTGTCTGTGAGACAGATCAACCACGGCAGTTTCACGGGAGCCGCTGCCATGGTTACCTTGGTGAGCGCTTGTTTGCCTGTCTGTTGATGAGGAGCGCAGAGCGACCCCGCGGATTAAAGCCGCCTGAAACGACCTTATAAACCCTGTCACAACCATTCACAAGAATTGTTAGAACTTGCTAATACCGTTAAAGACGACTTAAAAAGCAATCATTCATACAGCAAAGTGTAGGCTATATAGGCTACATGAGTGATCAATCGACAACAAAGTCAAAGTAAACATTAGACTTAGCCTATAACGAGCAATAATCAAAACAAACCCAATTTATCCAATCCTTATTGTCAACTCAGTGTTGGGCAAGTTACTCAGAAATGATATAATTATTACCTACTAGTTACTTAGCGTATACTCCTTAAAAAAGTCATATTAGCTACTGTGATGACAATTCCAGTTTTCAAATAAATTGCTCAGGCAGACACTTGTCTTTCTGCAAATTTTCTGCAGAAGGAACTCACTGGGACACAGACTCATCAGAGTATCATCCGAGTGAGCTGCAGTGTCTCAGCACATGCAGCTTTTATCGTAATCTCAGGGATCTCACCATGGGAACATTATGTCTTTGAGTGTTCCCTCGGGGACACTCAATCTGGATCTATCATAAGACAATCATGCCCAGGTACATGTGGTAAGACACCTAATGTCATGACCCCCTTGACACATCATAAAAGCATCACACACATTTACCTTTTATTGACCCCATTCCCGAGAAACCAGAGGCCCCCCAATGAGTAACATTAATTACATGGTTGTCTTTGGAGGTTGTGCTCATGGAATTCTCATTACACTACTCTACTTACAACTGGTTGATATAAAGCCACTCTCTCCCGATGAGTCTAAGCACCACTGGCAGCAGCGGCCTGAGTTTCTTTCTGAGTTTCACGTTGCTATGTTGCTTTAGCTGATGCTTAAATTAGCCCAAGTATAAATGTAGAACTGTGTGTGGTCAAAAACTTTTTGCTGGTTGCACAAAGTTTACAACGGATGACAATGTTCTTTGCATCTTGGACTGTGACACAACAATGGCAATAATGTTAACTACAGCTGACGAAAATACCTCTCACAGCTGACTTGAACATTATATGGTCCGGTGACCTGAAGCGCATTCAGTAGCGCAGCGTTACTTGGATTAGTAACTGTTATAATTTAACTGTTTTGGAAATAGTAATCCGTTACATTACTCTTTACTGGGAAAAGTAATATTGCAGTATTACTGCCCAACACGTTACGTACCAATGATGCGCGAGAGCAACTGTGGTACACACTGCGCAGGTGTGAAATTGGCAGCTGAACGCAAAGGAACATCCTTGTTGATACTTGGAAAGAAGGAAAATTTTACACACGTCAGCCCATAGATGTCATCAAATCCTTTCCATTTCCTTACCAAGCATTTTTCTGAGGAAGGCTGGTCTGGAGCTGGGCGGCAGGTGGATGCAAATGTAGTAGACTGGCGCACCAGACAACGCCACACCAATTCCCACCAGAGAGTTGATGGTGTCACTGTAGAGGGGAACCACTACCAGGAATATGCTGCACAAGCAGTAAACGATTGGGAAGAACAAAGAGAGCTGCAGGGAGCAGAGAGAGGAAGGGCAAGAGGCGGAAGACAAGGGCAAAATACAGAAAAAGTGTAAAAGAGGAATAAGAGAAGCAAAAAAAAGGGTGGGGATTAAGAAAAAAGTAGGAAGATTAAACTTAAAACAATTACATTAAGAAATATTAGTTTCAACCTCTGGTTCCCAAAAGAGAAATCTGGTGTCTCCCTGGGACCCAAACTTACAAAAATAAATATAACTACAACTACGGCTAAAGGGCAAAACAAACCATGTATATAAAAAGAAAAATATTTGGAGATGCCTGTCCAACTTCAGCCCTCATCAGCGAGTACTTTCCCACATATTACTCAAGCATCTCCTCTCTCTTCTGAATTGTTTTGTTTATTAAACTTGACCTTTTACTTTAGACATCATAGGATCAACAGTGACAGATCATATAATCATCATAGATCATATAAATTCTGTATTCTGAATGTGGACAGAAGATCAGGTTAGGTAAAAAAGGAAAAACCCTCACACAGCATCTGAGCTGAACAGAAAAGTGTAGCAAAAAAAGAACGTTCATTCACAAATTACTAGGGGTGTAAAGATTCACCAAATCCACGGTTCGGTTCAGACCTGGGTTTTTGAGCCCCACTTTTGGGGGTTTTCTCTGGGAGGGGGCATATTCAAATAATAATAATAATAATAATAATAATTAAAGCTGCAAGCAGCGTTGGGCGGGCCCTCGCACTTATAAGCGCGTCCGCGTGTGAGCCGGCCGAGTTGCATATTCTGGAGCTCTGCCGGTGCGGCTGTGAATTTGCTACGCGGTTATGACGCCGCATGAAGGTGTTATATGTCACTTCCTGTGTCCCCTATGTGGAGCTACATAGCACTTGCCGCTATGAATATAAATCGGTGTTGGCGTGTAGATGTCTGCGGGGTGGGAGAGTTATCAAGCACGTAAAGTTTGTTTCAGATGTGAGCATGTACACTGAACAATAATGTACCCAAACAATAAAATAAATTCCTTTTATATTTCCCTGCCTTGTTGTTTATGTGTACATACAGAGGAAGAATGTGAGAACAGCACACATTTCATCGTTACTGTGTGCTGTACCGCAGTTCTGTGTCCATGCATGCAGCAAACTGAAAGCACTGTCTGTCGGAGCGTCTACGTGAAAAGAGAAGGAAGACATTGCTGGTAGTATTGTCTTCAGAGTTGTTAAACACCTCAGCGCACTGAAGGAAGCCATCTGACTGTGTGAGGGGCAAGATCGTTGATGTCTGCAGGCAGAGTAGGAGCTTTCCTGTCTGACTGGTCCACCAATAGCAGAGAAGATGACCCCTTGAGACACAGCCCCTCCTCATTTGCATAATGAGGCAGAAATGCATACAAAAATTTAAAAAAGACAGGCAGAAATAAATACCATGGGTGAAAATAAATAAGGTAAATAAATACAAAGGAAGAATAAAACAGACAAAAATATTAAAACACACACATAAATAAATACATTAAAAAAATTTGTAATAAATAAAGTTGAATAACAAATAAGGTAATTATAACAAAGGTGAATAGTAAAGGCACTAATTAAATATATACATTTATGTCTCCTTGTATAATTTAATTACTACCTACATTTATTTATTTACTTTTTTTTTGTGTATTTAATTGGATGCTTATTTATTTATTGAGCATTTATTTATTTCTGTATTTATTTCTGACTGTGTCAGGATCGGTCCTCCATAACGGGGTGGGAGAGTTATCAAGCACGTAAAGTTTGGTTCAGATGTGAGCATGTACACTGAAGTTACAACAACTTCCTGTGTCATGGCGAAGACTTGATCTCTGACGCCACGCCACGGACACACCCATTGACGAAAACTCGCAAATAGCACAACTTTTCATCTTCAATGCCTTTAGAAGGCACAGCACAAATTTGAAGTCGGTCGGACTAAATCCCTAGGAGGAGTTCGTTAAAGTACGAAGTGTGTAAATCATCCAAAATTTGACGTAAAATTCAAAATGGCCTACTTCCTGTTGATTTTAGGGCATCGCTCCAAGAGGCTTTTTTGTGCGTCTGGACAAGATACACGTACCACAGAAAATTCGTGCACGTAGGTAAAACGTGCGGCGGGGCTGCTTCGTTAAAAGTCACTTCCTGTTGCCAGCAGGTGGCGCTATGACTGTCTGTGAATGTCAGCATGTACATGTGTTCAGGGCGGGACTCTCATCCTACATGTACAGTTTGGTCCAGATGTGAGCATGTACACTGAAGTTACGACAACTTCCGTGTCATGGCGAAGAGTTGATCTTTGACGCCACGCCACGGACACGCCCATTGACGAAAACTTGCAAATAGCACAACTTTTCATCTTCAATGCCTTTAGAAGGCACAGCACAAATTTGAGGTCGGTCGGACTAAATCCCTAGGAGGAGTTCGTTAAAGTACGAAGTGTGTAAATCATCCAAAATTTGACGTAAAATTCAAAATGGCCGACTTCCTGTTGGGTTTAGGCTATGGCTCCAAGAGACTTTTTTGTGCGTCTGGACAAGATACACCTACCACAGAAAATTCGTGCACGTAGGTAAAACGTGCGGCGGGGGCTGCTTCGTTAAAATTCACTTCCTGTTGCCAGCAGGTGGCGCTATGACTGTGGGTGAATGTCAGCATGTACATGTGTTCAGGGCGGGACTCTCATCCTACATGTACAGTTTGGTCCAGATGTGAGCATGTACACTGAAGTTACGACAACTTCCGTGTCATGGCGAAGAGCTGATCTTTGACGCCACGCCACGGACACGCCCATTGACGAAAACTTGCAAATAGCACAACTTTTCATCTTCAATGCCTTTAGAAGGCACAGCACAAATTTGAGGTCGGTCGGACTAAATCCCTAGGAGGAGTTCGTTAAAGTACGAAGTGTGTAAATCATCCAAAATTTGACGTAAAATTCAAAATGGCCGACTTCCTGTTGGGTTTAGGCTATGGCTCCAAGAGACTTTTTGTGCGTCTGGACAAGATACACGTACCACAGAAAATTCGTGCACGTAGGTGAAACGTGCGGCGGGGGCTGCTTCGTTAAAGGTCACTTTCTGTTGCCAGCAGGTGGCGCTATGACTGTGGGTGAATGTCGGCATGTACATGTGTTCAGGGCGGGACTCTCATCCTACATGTACAGTTTGGTCTGGATGTGAGCATGTACACTGAAGTTACAACAACTTCCTGTTTCATTGCGAATCATCGACGCCACGGACACGCCCATTGACGAAAACGCGCAAATAGCACAACTTTTCATCGTCAATGCCTTTAGAAGGCACAGCAGAAATTTGAGGTCGATCCGACTAAATCCCTAGGAGGAGTTCGTTAAAGTACGAAGTATGTAAATCATCCAAAAATGGCCATAAAATTCAAAATGGCCGACTTCCTGTTGACTTTAGGCTATGGGTTCTTGAGGCTTTTTTGTGCGTCTTGATACGATACATGTCCCCAGAAAATTTCGTACATGTAGGTTGAACGTGAACGAGGGGCTAATCATTTCCAATTTTCTAGGTGGCGCTAGCGAGTCATTTTGCCACGCCCATGTGCGAAACTTGTAGAATACGAAATTTTTCACCGGTTCTGACATGTTTGCAAATTTTGGTGAGTTTTCGAGTATGTTTAGGCCATGTCATTTGGGCCTACTTTGCAGAAAAAAAAAAAAAAATAAAAAAAAAAAAAAAAATAATCCGAGCAATTTCAATAGGGACCTCGCACGGTCGTGCTCGGGCCCTAATAATAATGTTGTATTCCATCTTGGGTTAATGAAAGTAGTCGCAGTTGCTGGCCTGATCACTCAATCATGAGTAGATCAAAATAGTCACATGACATACCCATTTGAAGGACAATAAAATTGGTCAAAGGTACAAAATATAGGCCTACAGCTTGCAATAACTTTAAATGCAGTGTTTGACATATACTTTACTAGGGCGGGTCGGCCAGGTATGTAAGCACCTGCCAAAGTATATTTGGCAACCCACTTTAGCATTTTACTGAAAAACAGAGCGATGGTAACTGGTATTACGTTAAGCCGACACGTAGAAATTTTACATTGCAGATGTCACTCACTAATGTTAGTTTCACTTGAAAACTGAATCACGGTTGAGTTTATTAAACACTGTGACTTTATGAAATGTACTACTGATGGAGACAGTCGCGAGTGTGAGGAGAAGAGGAGCAGATTCAAGTAGTAAATATAAAAACTATTGTTATTGTAACATTGAAATTTACTCAATAAAATAAAAATGTGCCTGCGACCCATTTTGGGTCCTCAACCTAAGTTTGGGAAACATGGGTTTAAACCATATACCTGATGATTTAATTGAAGCTCTAATCGACCTTAAATTGCTCAGCCGGTACGCTGTGCAGTCGCTTTTATTGCAAGAAAATCAAATAAACAGAGTTATCAGATTCATAACGTCATGGGCATTTAACATTGTCATTACTCATAACTACAATGTTACAATAATGGAGGCACTGCTGATGGGTAAACAAACTTAACTAAAAAGGTCCAAAATGCTTGAAAGAACATAGATAGCGCCTTATGAATCAGCCCCCGGTCCGTTTTAGAGGACAGAGGGCAGCTTTTTATATCATTATACTTCCTATGTTTACAATTCTTTTTAGTTTTCTGTTCAGCCACACAATCTAAGGAGGGGTATGGACCATCAAAGATATGATGAGAGTAAACCTGGACAATTAACAGGGTATAAAGAAATCTCTGAATATATTAACTTAATATTATTTCTTTTGTCAGAGTTGCTAGCAGAGAATATTTTGAGAAGACGAGTTCTACCCAAAGCCAGGTGGTTGAAAAGGCCCTTATAACCACAGTGATTAAAAACAAAAAATATAATAATAATTCTAAGTTTGTCTTTGACATGGTTCTTTGTGTGCACTGTATTCCATAAGCCAATCAAGCTGTAACTCAGGATTTAGCAATTCAGGCGCAACACATTTTGTCATACATGCAAGAAAACGACTGACAATATAGAAATATATTAGAACTGAATTGGTGAGGTTGAACATCATATATAAGTGGCTTGTATATGTTATAGTAAGATAACGAAAACACTCACAACAGCAGCAAACTATAGCTGGTTTAAATTACTAACAACACAGCTTGCAAAAGTGATTCAGAAGTCTCAAGATGTCCAAGTTTCCCCACAGACACATAACGTACAACAATGATGAGTTGTCAAAACTGCATTACCACAGTCAGTCCCCCCCCCCTCACTGTGGATACCTGTCGCTGTCTAAATTTCCCGCCTCTGCATGTTTCATCCCACACTGTTAAATAAGAAACTCATGTGTGAGTTGAAGGGGCACAGTCACTATGGTCCCCTTAAACACTAACGCTGCATATTTCCTCTTCTTTTTTCTTTACCTTAACAGGTCTGCGCATATCAGGAGCTTTGAAGCGAAGGTAGATCTGGCTGGCTATTGACAGGCCGATGAACAACCAGTAATTAAAGCTGAAGAAGTTGATCAACTGGAAAACATCAGGCACCAACAGGTAGAACAGAGACATGCCTCCCTAAAAAGAGATGACCAAATACAAACATAAAGAAGAGGTGTCAGAGTTTGGCAACAAGCAGGCATCAGGTACGCAAGCATCCGGAGGTGACCAAAACAACAGTATGTGATACTAACATTGAAAAGCAGGGCAGGAATTGGGGTGAAACGCTTAATGTGGATCATGCACAAGACATTAGGTAGGTGGCCTTCTCTGGAACCAACAAAAAACAACCTGCAGGGGGAAAAAAATAATGGTGAAAACAGGTCCCCATGTTTGCTCATCGTTTTGCTGACATTTTAGGATTTTGTAGACTAGCGGGGTAAATCTGCATTGAGGGAAAGCTAATGACTGGAACTTCGGGTGTGCTCGTATCCACTGACCTGGAGGCAGCAATGATGGAGGAGTTGAGGCCTCCGTAGCAGGAAATGGCCACAGACAGAGGGATCAGCCATCGAGCCCAGCCCAGCACCTCATCTGCAAAGGTCTGAGGAGACATTCAACAAAGTGTTCACTGCTCGTATTTAATTTATTGGTAAAAGGAGTGGCCCTCATCGTTAACACAGGATTAGAGTGTCACTAAATACAAGTAAAAACATCTGATTACCTGAAATGGGTACATAGGGCTGAACAACTTTGAAAAAAAAAGATCTAATTGTGATTATTTTGACCGATATTGCAATACAATTTGCGATACTACTACCATCATCATTCTGATTACATTGAAAAACATATTTAAATGGATTATGGTGTCATGTTAGCGGGGATCTGTACCAAACAAAGATTATTTTCTTAGGTTTGTAGAAATCATGTGTAGGCCAGGACATCTCTGCTGCACGACAATATTTAAAGAGATGGTATTATGCTTTTTGGCTTTTTCCCCTCTCCTTTATCGAGATCTCTTTTTTGTGCATGTAATAGGTTTGCAAAGTGAAAAAGCCCAAAGTCCAGCCCAAAGGGAGTTCCCATCTTCCACAGAAAACACTGCTCCGAACTGCTTGAAAACAGCTCGTTTGTAGTCCAGCTGCTTCCCTTTTCATCATATAACGTTCGCCACGCGGCTACTCCTACACACCCTCAAAAACACCGGAGGAAAAACACTGAGCTGCAGCACACACCTCCTCTCCCTTCCAAACACTAGCTACCCTCCAGGTAGTCAATGGACATAAAGTTGTTACTGTGAGAGACAGAGCTTTGTTAAAATTACTTGTTACAGATTAATCACTCACCACTCTGAAACTCTTGCTCCAGTCCATGTTGCCAAGCTGATCAGCAGCTGAACCGAAGCCCTGTTTACCGGCTTTTCACGGACCTTTCCTTCCTCTGCTTCTGATTGGCTAGTAGTCCTTAACTAGGAACTGCGCATGTGCAACTCCCAACAAAGATCATTTAGAGACAAGATGTATCACTCCGTAGCTAAAAAGAAGCCTTCAACAATGTGCAGTATTTTATTTTTTTAATTAAACCATGTAAACCTGTTCTGGTACAAACCCTAAATAGAATTTTGAAACTGAAAATGAGCATAATACCACCTTAAAATTAAACATGAACTTTAACAAATATTGCACCTCCAGCGATTTCAAAACTGCTGTAGGCCATATTGCAATTTCGATTAGATTTTGATTAATGTTCAGCACTAACCTACATCCTAACAATACACATACATCTGCAAAACACAATTCAAATTTTAGGTTTAGTAATAATGTACATACAAGTGCATGTGTGTCAATAATTAAGATATTTTAACTTATTTGACTAAATTGCTAATCTCAGTACGTAACACCCCCATGCGTTTCCTGTTGTTTGCTTTGTAAGGTAGTATTTCTGACTATAAAAAGGTCACACAGGCATTTAAAGATTATCACTCCACTTCTGACCAACTGTAACTTTTGCTATTAATCTCCTACAGTTACAACTGAAGGAAATAATACAGTAAACTCCAAATGCAGCAGTCTAAATTATAGGAGCTATAAAATAGAGGGTAGGTCTGCATGTATGTGAGAGGAGTGTGCTTCTTCTGATGAAAAATCGGAAGGGTAAAAAACCCAGCAGGAATTACAGCTGCAACAAAGAGATTTGGCAAAATGTTATATTGCTGTACCAGTTGGGGAATCTCTTGTTTGCCTGAGAAAAAGCTAATGAAGCTATGAAATGGATTTTGTTACTCACTAAGCACGGCTTAATCTCATAGTACATAACAAGGGCTATTAGGCTGTTTACAAATGATAAAAAGTCAGAGCTGGTGGGTATGCCAAAAGCTCAAATGAACGCTGATATGTCATCATACAATTTAATCAAGAACTTAGGGCTGGAATATTAAACAATAATGATAATTAGCGCAATATTTAATAATTAAATAATATAACATGTTAAATTAAGGAACTGGAAAAAGATTTACTTTATATATATATATATATAATATATAAAGTTGTTTTGAATGTTCCAAATCAGATTTATGAAGTGATCCAATGTTTGGCATCAAGTGTTTCTCACGTTCTGACCATAAAGAATAGTTTAACCACAATTAACCATCTGGTTACTTCAACTTTCACTCAAGAGCAAAAATCAGCCTTTAAACTAAAAGAAATAATGATTTGAGATTTATTGTAATAATTATCGAATGGTATGAAATGTTTTTTTCATGACAACATTTCTGGCCATATCGCCCTGCCCTACAACAACTACACACATACAGGTGCTGGTCATATAATTTGAATATAATCAAAAAGTTGATTTATTACAGTAATTCCATTCAAAAAGTGAAACTTGTATAATGTATACATTCATTCCACACAGACTGATATATTTCAAGGCTTTATTCCTTTTAATTTTGATGATTATAACTGACAACTAATGAAAACCCCTAAATCAGTATCTCAGAAAATTTTAATATTGTGAAAAGGTTCAATATGCAAACACCTGGTGCCACACTCTAATCAGCTAATTAACTCAAAACACCTGAAAAGGCCTTTAAATGGTCTCTCAGTCTACACAATCATGGGGAAGACTGCTGACTTGACAGCTGTCCAAAAGCTGACCATTGACACCTTGCACAAGGAGGGCAAGACACAAAAGGTCATTGCTAAAGAGGCTGGCTGTTCACAGAGCTCTGTGTCCAAGCACATTAATAGAGAGGCGAAGGGAAGGAAAAGATGTGGCAGGAAAAAAAGTGTACAAGCAATAGGGATAACTGCACCCTGGAGAGGATTATGAAACAAAACCCATTCAAAAACGTGGAGGAGATTCACAAAGAGTGGACTGCAGCTGGAGTCAGTGCTTCAAGAACCACCACGCACAGACGTATGCAAGACATGAGTTTCAGCTGTCACATTCCTTGTGTCAGCCACTCTTGAACAAGCCACAGCGTCAGAAGCGTCTCGCCTGTGCTAAAGACAAAAAGGACTGGACTGCTGCTGAGTGGTCCAAAGTTATGTTCTCTGATGAAAGTAAATTTTGCATTTCCTTTGGAAATCAAGGTCCCAGAGTCTGGAGGAAGAGAGGAGAGGCACAGAATCCACGTTGCTTGAAGTCCAGTGTAAAGTTTCCACAGTCAGTGATGGTTTGGGGTGCCATGTCATCTGCTGGTGTTGGTCCACTGTGTTTTCTTGGTTGGACTTGGACTTGGTTTTTACCCTGGGTGTCAGCATTTCCTCTGTGGAATTAGTGGACATGACTATATCTGACCACAGATGTATTGTTTTTAGCTGCGATTCGCCTGTTACTCATGCCGCCTCACCAAGCTCCGTGTGTTGTCGCATCTTTAATGAACAAAGTGTTTCAAAGTTTTGCGCATTCTTTCAGAGCCAAAGCCAACACCTGTCTGATTCCAACACCAACAATCTGGTCGATCACTTCAATCATATCTGCTTGTCGTCACTCAATATTACTGCTCCTCTAAAGGTTAGGCCTACGTCTAAAGCTAGTAAGCAACCCTGGATAAATGACAGCATTCGCAGCCTCAAAAGGGAATGCAGGAAAGCAGAGCGCAGATGGAAAAAATCCAGTCTCCAAGTCCATTACCTCAGTCTGAAGGATTTATTAATTAACTACAATAAAATGGTTAAGGATGCGAGAACACACTATTTTTCTGAACTCATTACTACACATAAACACAATCCCAGGTTTCTGTTTAAGACTGTGGATCAGCTGGTAAACCCAACCCCTCCTTGTGCCTCAGCTGGAAGTAATGATGACTGTGAATAGTTTTTCTTATTTTACCAATAAGGTGGTGTCAATCAGAGCCTCTATTACCCCCGTGGCCTCTTACTCAGAGGTCCCTCACCAGCAACAACAGAGTTTTAACCAGTTTTATCCCATCGACTTGTCTGAGCTTTTAAAAACAGTATCACAAATGAGAGTGTCCTCCGGCCCACTTGATATAATACCTACAAAATTTTTTACTGAAAGTAATAGATTCTGTCGGGCCCCATTTGATCTCTGTTTTCAACAGCTCCCTATCTACTGGTTGTGTCCCTGATTATTTCAAAACGGCTTGCGTGAACCCACTTTTAAAGAAACCTGGTTTAGATCCCTCCCTCCCACATAATTTTAGACCAATTTCAAAACTGCCTTTTATTGCAAAGATTCTAGAAAGAATTGTGTCCAAACAGCTGCTCACTGTGCTGGAAAATAACAAATTATTTGAAAAGTTTCAGTCTGGTTTTAGGAAGTACCACAGCACTGAGACTGCCCTGCTTAAAGTCACCAATGACCTTTTAATGTCTGCTGATGAAGGTATGTGCTCAGTCCTGGTACTCCTGGATCTTAGCGCTGCTTTTGACACCATTGATCACAACATCATGTTAGACAGACTGAGGCACTGGGTGGGGATCTCTGGTACTGCTCTAGAATGGTTTTCATCCTACCTGTCAAATAGGAAGTTTTGCTTGTCTGTAAACAACTATGTCTCTTCATTCTGTCCAGTTAAATATGGTGTGCCTCAGGGGTCGGTCTTAGGACCCATTTTGTTTTCCTTGTATCTGCTTCCCCTTGGACATATTATCCATAAACATGGCATTTCTTTTCATATTTATGCTGATGACACACAAATATACTTGCCCGTCAGATCCACAGACCCTGGAATGCTGAGTTCACTTAACAACTGCCTTTGTGAAGTTAAAAAATGGATGTCAAATAATTTCCTCCAGCTGAACTCAGACAAAACAGAAATCCTGGTCATCGGGTCCCAGCAGATGGCAAATCAAATACTGCCATCTGCTGGTTCCCTAGTAAATCACATTAAGCCTGTGGCAAAGAACCTTGGTGTTTGGTTTGATAGTAATTTAAATTTCGAGCAGCACACCACAAAGCTTGTTCAATCATGTTTTTATCAACTTAGAAATATAGCTAAAATTCGATCTATGTTAACTTTTAAGGACACCGAGACCATTTTACACGCCTTCATCTCATCACGCCTGGATTATTGCAACAGCCTTTTCACCTGTTTAACCCAAAAATCTATTGATCGACTCCAGACTGTCCAGAACTCAGCTGCCAGGCTTTTAACCAGAACAAAGAAATATGACCACATTACTCCTATTTTAGCTTCATTACACTGGCTCCCAGTATGTTTTAGAATTGACTTTAAAATTCTATTGATCACTTTTAAAGCTCTTCATGGCCTCTCGCCTTGTTATATTTCTGACCTTTTAGTCCCATACGCACCAGCACGTACCTTGAGATCCTCGGGCAGAGGTCTGTTGTCTGTTCCAGAGTCTCGACTGAAAACTAAAGGGGACAGAGCGTTTTCTGTCAGGGCCCCGAGGCTCTGGAACAGCCTGCCCGAGGAAATCAGGTCGGCTGAGTCGGTGAACTCGTTTAAGTCCCTTCTTAAAACATACTTTTATAGGAGAGCTTTCCGATCTTATTTGACTTTATTTTATCCCTTTTATTTTATTTTACTAATTTTATATTAAATTTTCATGCTCTTCTCTTTTTTGTATTATTCTTTACACTTGTTAAAGCACTTTGTAACTTGTTTTTGAAAAGTGCTCTACAAATAAGGATTATTATTATTATTTTCTGAGGTCCAAGGTCATCGCAGCCGTCTACCAGGAAGTTTTAGAGTACTTCATGCTTCCTGCTGCTGACCAACTTTATGGAGATGCAGATTTCAATTTCCAACAGGACTTGGCACCTGCACACAGTGCCAAAGCTACCAGTACCTGGTTTAAGGACCATGGGATCCCTGTTCTTAATTGGCCAGCAAACTCGCCTGACCTTAACCCTATAGAAAATCTACGGGGTATTGTGAAGAGGAAGATGCGATACGCCAGACCCAACAATGCAGAAGAGCTGAAGGCCACTATCAGAGCAACCTGGGCTCTCATAACACCTGAGCAGTACCACAGACTGATGGACTCTATGCCACGCCGCATTGCTGCAGTAATTCAGGCAAAAGAAGCCCCAACTACGTATTGAGTGCTGTACATGCTCATACTTTTCAGTTGGCCAACATTTCTAAAAATCCTTTTTTGTATTGGTCTTAAGTAATATTCTAATTTTCCGAGATACTGAATTTGGGATTTTTTGGGAATAACACCTACGAAAACTCTAAGAAACGCTTAATGTAAATGTTTCTTAGAGAAGATTCTTAACCAGGATGGGCTTTAAAATGTCTGTGCCAAACACATTTTACCTTCTGATATTATGAACTTTCAGTGCAGTGCTGAGGAGCAAAGTCTAAGCTGTGCATAACACCCAATGATGTCATCGCTCCCTCCACAATCTGAGAAATCCAGTTATGGAAACAGGAAAACTATGAGAGCCCACAGCCTATAGCTTGTTGGAAAATAAGTTAACTATTAGAGTGAATACTATCAAATACCACTGTAAACAAACCTCAGTACAACTCTTCCTCCTCCAACGCACTAATCACATAGTCAACTTCCCCGTTCCTGTGTGTGGCGCTAACCTCTTTAGCTAAATGAGATTCCTGACATCTAGACTCCTGCAGTCACAGATAACCAAAAGGGAATACTGAACCAGACACTAGTGCCAGTGGCTGCCAGCCAGGCTGAAACAGATGACAGCAGAAGATGGGAAGCAAAGATCCGAATCTGCTACCCAATGAGTCTGAGCAGACGCTGTCAATATGGTGTGTTAATGGATAGACATTAGTATGCACGCGGTCACACTGCTCATACACAGCTTCTTTAGTGCACAAGGAGAATGCACAAAATTTATTCTGAGCCCCACAATAATAGGCAGATACTCACCACAGCAACAGCTTCGCTGCTCAGCACTTGGTCTGCATCCATGACGACGTAGTAAGCAACGTTGGTCAAGATGTAGATCACTGTGACAATGGGCATGGAAATAGCGATCGACAAGGGCAGATTCCTACAAAAGAAAAATGGTTTTCATTAACTTAACGCGCTCAGTTGAGCCTTAAGTATTTACAGAACAGAGCTGAGAAAAATAATTGTTAGCCACACCCCACCCCAACCTGCAAGCAGTACTAAAATATCTAGATTTTTACAAATGTTCAGTTTATTTTGTAACTGGGATGTATACCATTTCCACTGAGACGACAGCTTGAGATTACTTCATGTTACGTCAGAAAGCAAAGCCATTAGGAACAAAAATCCCTTCTTGTAAAATATTTCTCAAATACCAGACCTCATACCTCTCTGGGTTTTTAATCTCCTCCGTGATGAAGTTGAGTGTGTCCCAGCCAGAGTAGGAGTACAGTGCTGAATAGAGGGCCAGGGCCATGTCACCTGGGTTCAGCTTGGAGCCCTTGAATGAGTCCTCAAAGTTCTGGTCGAATCCTACATAAAACAGGTGTTAAAATGTTTTGCTTTCATCATCCAGGGCTAATTATTTTCAAAATATTGAATCCAGCATGTGCCTTAAATATTTTTAATTTCATATTTCAATAAATAGTGTGCCCTGCATAATATATACACATTACATGCCTGAACCAGTTTAGTAAAAGAAAAGAAAAGGACAAAAAACATCCACGCAATAATATATGTAGCAATAACAAGAGCACCAAACACAATCAAAAACATAACGTAACAAAATCTGAATTTAAAAACAGTTATTCGTATATTCGATGTATAAAATGTATCAATATAATAATTAAACTATTTGATCAAGCTGGTCCAATATCAAAATTTTACCTGAAAAGCTGAGTCAAAAATGATTGATGAATGATTAAGGTGCTTTGACAAACTACCAAAATCCACCATTTCGCCATATTTACTAAAATCCCTTGAACTAAAACGTTAACTATTTACAGCATTCTGTTCAATGATTCAGTTAAAATGCCTTAATCCCAAATAGTTAAGTAGTGCTTCATCCCATTCATTTTCAGCAAAGTGAAGGCAGTGATTTCAGAATAACTATCTGACAGACAGACAGTTTCTAGGACACCCTACCTTGTGCCAGCTTAACCAGCCCAGTAATGATGATGACAATAAGAGCTAGGACCTTGGCCACAGTGGAGATGACCTGAAGAATAGCGCCCCATTTCACTTTCATACAGTTCACACAAGTCAGCAGACCTGATATGGAGAAAGAGCAAGAAAACAGTAGTTAACCAACATCAAATCAATAAAGTTTAAATCGAAGGTTGGACACAAGCAGAGGGGAGGAGTTTATGGTCGAACAACTGTATTGACATTGCTATTATGCTAGGGTTGGGCGGTATATCTGTATATGAGGTATACCGATATAATTTCAAAAGATAGATATTAGACAATATTAGACAAAGATATGAAATTAGACAATACCGTTTATACCGATATAATCTGATACTAATATTGTTTCTGTAAAGTCCTGCTAGCGTTTGCACGTCTCTCTACCTCACCGCGCAGCTCCGCCCCTCCCTCAGTGTCTGCACGCAGCAGTCAACTCACAAAGTCTCTAACAAGATGGAGGGAGACACAGAGCTGGTCGACACTGAGACCTGTCTTGTAAAAAGAAAAGCAACGCTTAAGTTAGTGTTTCCCACACATACACTTTACTTCGGCGGGCCGCCCAGGTTAGGCGATACATTGCAGTATTTATCACAGAAACACAGTGATTGCGTAAGTCGCAACACGGTGGATATTTTACAAGAGCGGACCAAGTAAAGCGACACACCTGTCAGATGTCATTCGTTAGCTACCATGTTGGTTTTGTTTTGATAGGCTACGTCGTCAACACGCCTCCTCAACGTGCAGCTCAGCTGCTGCTGTGAACGGAATCACGGGAGGAAAAGTCCAGAAGACAAGGTCTGATTTTTTTTGGTGACTTTATACAGCCTAGCCTACTACTGATGGAGAAAGTCACCGAAGCGGACATACAGGGAGAGCGAGACAGTAAAGCCCGTTTTTCCACGGTACCAGCTTGACTCGCCTCGTGTTTTTTTTGGTTGTCCATTTGGTTTTCCATTGTGTAAAAGTTGTACTTGTATCTGCTACCAGGTGCTATTTCTGGGTACTGTCTGCAATGAAAAACGGAGGATGGCCAAACTGAGTCGAGGCGAGCTGAGCTGGTACTGGTAATGGCTGTTTGCAGCAGAGGTACGTTAGGTCTGTGAGTGTGAAGAGAACTGAAGCAGTCAAATTCAATAAGTGAATGATATTAAGATGGAGAATGAAGTATAATTAAAACGGTGAAATAAGCTAAGTTGAGCTCGCTTAGCAGAAAATACCGATATATTTTATACCGGAATTCTGCCTAACAGCATGACTTTTTGGCTTTATCGCCCAGACCTATGTTATGCCCTTTATCACAGTATCACAACGCTTTAGGGTTTCCCTTTACTAAGCACAGTACACTTAAAGCAGAGCTGAGAGGAAATCATTACATTTTCTCATTTAGCTGACGCTTTTATCCAAAGCATTATTTTGCTATATATGTCAGGCTAGGCTCTAGAGCAACTAAGGGTTAAGTGTCTTGCTCAGGGACACAATGGTGGATGTGTAACAGTAGGACTCAAATCCAGGTCTCTCACACAAAAGGCATGTGTCACACCACTTATGACTATCCCTTTCAGCTTTTATGAGAACATCTTGTACACTTCCTCAAAAATGTAACAGTCTGGATTAACAGGAGGTTAACTGTGTCTGATTTTATTGAACCTTTGGTTTTTCGTGACAAATTAAAGCACAGACTGTACTGGACTTGTGTCAGCCAACAGTGCAATTAAGAATAAAGCAAACAGGCTGATTAAGACATTTACAGTAAATAATTGGGGTTTAAATAACCAAAACCAATCTATTTGTTCTATGCTCTGGGAACATGCATTCAGTTTAAACTTAAAAAAATTGTAATAAATAATGTTAAAATAATTTTGTAATGCACCTTGTGTGTATTATTGTCAAGTACAGGAGAGACTTACATATGATCACAGCAGCAATGAGGCGGACGGCGTCATAGG